GTTCCTTTTCCACAGAAAGGGATTTATTTCAATGTAAGTGAAATCATTGCCAGACAAAAATATAAACTCAAGCGTTCACTAGATACTGATAGATATATTTATAGGTACAAATTATTCAGTATTATTAGATACTTTGTTTAACCCCAAGACGTAACTCAAAACAATCACACATCCAACAAAGGTGGAAAGGTTTAAAAAATATATATTTTAGAAAGTCAAAAACTTTAAACATAAAGTGATCTCAAAGAATGCTCGCACGCTATCCCGGACACCACCCATAAAAACTCGTATAACGCAAAAACCAGAAAATTTAAAACGACCGAACTTGGAAACTTCAGGCCATAACAATCTTGTCAATTTCACAAAGCGCGACTTTAAGTACAGACATTGAAACGTTGAAACCATTTTATCTATACCACTATAATAGATTTTATGACCTTTTTTATAGCAGACCCTCCAATCTAATCTAGTAGAACGTTTGATAAACAAAAAAGGGCGTAAAACTGCCACGCGGAAAGGGCGTGTCCTTGGGCTTGACCTTCGCGGTTTAGGGCTTGGATAAATTGACCTTTAAAAGGTCATGGGTGTTTAAAAATTTGCATGAAGTATCGTTTCGGATTCATCGCGTGATTATGAGGTGGGGATCCCTCAAGGACGCGTCCTAGGACCGACGTAGTATAACTTAAATTACCAGCCACGATTTATGAGTATCCAGTAAAGAACGTCGGATTTTCAACAATGTTTTGGAATATAAACATTTTACTTTTAACTTTGTGACCTTGATGTGCCACGGTCTGTACAATGACTGGGAAAAGTTTATTAAACTGTCAAACACCAAGCGGTCACCGGTGACCGCAACCTATTATTCTATAATTGTGTCTATAATGACGGTACTCGACGAGTTAAATTAGAATACTTTGTTATCTAAAAAGGTTCCGCAGATAATTAGATTACACTACATAGAGCGAACTATTTTGTAGTCTAATAACGTAATATTATAAAACCGACACTTATTAATATTAGTTCCTTATATTCATAATAAAGGTTGATAGGGTAGGGCTGTAGTCCAAATCTTGTTGATTGAGAATCTGTTTTTTTTTTTGGATTGAACTAGAGTTATTGAGGTTGGTAAACATAAGACAACACTTGGTGTTTATAAGTATAGGCTGTACAGATATCTAAAACTTCTTACTATTATAACCCAGGTACTAAGCTATATTCTGACATAATCAATATCATAAGCTCCGTTGAAAGTTCACTTTATATTCTCCGTCCTTGCTGCCTCGTGCAAGCTTCGAAAAATTCCTTTTTTTTTTCAAATCGCATCCATAGGATATCTACCTTTAATACTGGAAAAATGCGTCTAACTTTTCTTGAGTTATGGATTTTTATTGAATTAAAATAAAAAGGTATTAATTTTGGATGTATAACAAAAAAATCTGGTCACCGTCATTACTGTGGTGATACACGATCGATCTTTGGATAATTAGAGCTTCTCTAATAAACTGCATTTCGAAATCAAAAGCTAACCCAGGTTCCGAATCCTCATCAATTTTCAATTGACCTCATCGTCATATCTATTTGCAGCTGTAATTTGTAACCAAAGTAAGTTAACCTCTAAAAATAGAATACCTTTACACGTCATTGAGTGAAATAATAATATACCCCAAATATGATTAAATGCTAAAAGCATAAACGCCACACTTCCATAGCAATTTACGAAACCGTAGGCAGGTACTTTAGGCCCGTTCAGCACTTCGTTATCTCAATTTACAAACACCTACCTTGTTACAAAACCATTAAGCGTTTTAATTACATTTGCATCACCTGCTTCACTCTCAGACATCTCATAAATAATTCAATTAACTAAATTGTCGTAAAATCGTATTTTCATATGGGAGAGCCTTGCTTCGGCACGAATGAGCCATCTCGACCGGAGTGATACAGTGATACCACAACCTCATAGAATATCGACGTGAAACAGCGATTGTGCTGTATTTCGCCGTGTAAGTGAGGTTACTGGAGGCCTCGTCCTTCCATTACATTAATCCCCAAAATACTGGCAACGCAATTGTCTATTTGATTAAAAAACGTTGCCCCAAACTAGGATTTTCTACTGTGTCGTGGGTGCGTTTACAAACATACAAATTCACATACACATTGACACCCAGACCCGAAACAACAATTTGTGGATCACACAAAGTGTTGTCTCGTGCGGGAATCGAACCCGCGACACGTTGCACGGCAGCCAGTTGCCCAGCCACCGCACCAACCGTGCAGTCAATTGTCATTCCTCTGTGTTGCGGGTATCTATGGCAGCGTCGTTTGCCTACCAGGTAATCCGTCTATTCGTTTGTTACCCTATGCCACAAATAATAAAGTCGCAAAATCGCAATCGTGGGTATGTAGCCACGCCGATAGCCTTAGTCGAAGTTCTTAGTTTCACACAAGCTCATAATTCACCACGTAAGAGTTTACGTGTTTCTTGATTGAAATTGAAAACGTTTAGATTGTGTCTGTGTGTGTGTTTGTACGTCTTTTGTTTTCGTTTTGTGCAGCTTTCCAAACAGTGTTTTGTTTATCTTGTTATTGTTTTTTGTTTTTCTTTTGTTTCGTTTTGTTTTGTGTTTATTTTTGTTTTCTTAATGGAATGTCGTTATGTAAATAAATATAAAGAGTTTAGCTATTTTAGATTTGTTTAAATTTGCATTAAAAAGATTTTTTATTGTTATTAGGGTTATTAGAGTTAATAGAAAATATAATTGGACAAAATGGTAAAACCTCTTTTGTGGTACCTAGTCTGTACTGTACTGTACTGTAGACCTCCAGCAGTGATTGCTCAAGGGTGATGACGAAGCCTTCAGATAAATCACAAAGGTATTTTTTAAGGGGGGAAAAGCATCGAATGACTGCTCCCGCCTGGGTGAAGCGGGAGGGAGTGTCAGACTCTTACTGACTAAAAACCACCCCGTTCCTTCTCCTGCACGTCGAGCCGGAGCCCCGGTTACTCGTTAGGTTCTCCGCGACATCACAAAGGTATAAGATTAACCGGCGCTATAGTAACCACTAACAAGTAAACATTAATAGTGTCTGTCATACTGTAGGCCCATACATATATTAATATTTGTAGGTCCATACAATAAAACCAATTATTTTAACAACTGTTTCACGTATATGGATGGACAAGTCAATAGTCCCTTTGTTATATATTAATAATTATAGAGGTACAGCTACTTTTTATTTTATAATACAAATGAATGATTTGTTTGTTTGTATGTATGTGTAAAACTACTAATGTTGAATGTTCAAAAATGGCAGTTTTCGAAATTCAATTTTAATCTTATCTTCACACATCCTCGTATTAGGGGTTTAATATATTATCATGTATCGCACGTTGTACCATTTTGCTATAATACGAGATGCTAAAAAGTCTTCATATTTTACTCGGAACTCACGGTAGGGACCACTTAACAAACTAGGCAGTCAGAACAATGCAATGCAGCAATGGGGCAAAAAATACCATTCAAATTAAAAAAGTAAAGAAATTGTAAATATCTATATCAATAGCACTCCTGCCTGTATTCGGGAAACAAAAGAGTATCTAGTGGGCTGTTATATTTTGTTTTAATGTACCAAATAATAATCTTTCCAAAGTAAAACTTAGGACATAGATACTTGATACATGTTATTGGAAATACACCGTAAATTCTATTTCGTTTTCGTCCCGCGGCAAAATAATTTACGATAAGAAGTACTTTCAATGTACAAAAAAAAAACAAAAAAATAAAGACGACAATATTATTAGAATAAAAAAAATTGTGGAAATATACACAATAAACAGTAGACGTAAATTTGTGACTATTCTCATCGCACATGGCACCCGACGAGAAATACCTCTCCGAGAACTACATGGCGTGGTATTTATCGACAATGTAGGTACCTACTATGAGTTCGTATGCTCTTTCGAAGTTAGCTTTTTGCAATGTGTCATCAGATATTTCTTGTTTTTAACATTTTATTTCTTTGTAAAACTATTATATTAAAGTACCAAGATAGAACCAATTGACGAAAACGAAATAAATTTCCCGGTGTCTATATATTTTTTTTGTTTTTTTTTCAACATAAGCGAAGTCATACACTTTAAGCTAGTTTAGACTAATCTATAATTAAACTATTGGCCCGTCTTACCTCATTACGATCGTGAGCTAAACATAAGCAAAATGGCGTATTGTTTCAACTAATATATTTAATGGCGCCTGATTATCATACAGTCGTGATTTGAAATAACAATAATACAGTTATTGTCTTGGTTAGTGTGTTTGTGTTATTGTTTTTGTGATAGACTTGTTTTTAATTGATTGGTCAGCGCGATTGTTTAGATACTATCAGGTGTGGTGCTCAGAATGGGTAGAGTAATCATAATTTTGGGATTCACATTGTTCTATTATAGAAAATTGACTAATAATTTTATTGATACTATTACGTAACTCATGGATTAATTTTGAGGTTAATTTATCTGTTAATTATTAGTCATTTATTTTAATTTATCAATCTAAAGATATTTGGAAAAGTAGAAAAGGAATTAAAATCAATTTATTTACTAAATCGAACAGTGTTTTCGATAATAACAAACTTCATTGAACATCAAAGCGAAAGAAATATATTTTGATTTGAATACTAATTAGATTTATCCAAGGCCAATAAAAACGTAAGTGTGTAGACGGCCTATTATTACGCAGTTCAATGACGTCATTATTGTAAATAATGTTGCTCACGAAGATACCGGTTAGCAATTTCAATGCATTATCCACAGCCCGGCTAGCTCAGTCGGTAGAGCATGAGACTCTTAATCTCAGGGTCGTGGGTTCGAGCCCCACGTTGGGCGCAACTTTTTGTTGTTGATTAATTATGCAAAACTATATTTTGGATATTTTCTGTACATTTTTCAAACAATTTCTGAAAGAAAACATTAAAAAACCATTTTTTCATACAAGTCTTACCTGCAATTTTTCGTTCTCGCATTTTCCTCCATAGTTGTTCAGCTTTCCTCATAGGCCAGTTCTCTACTTTTGCGCTGAAACTCCTGAAGAACTTGTACTCCTTGAAATGTGACATTCTTCGCTCCATCTTGCTAGGCGTATGTCCCGGAGGAGGCGGTGAAGGCGCCTTAGGCGTAGTCGACGGCGAAGGCTCGTTATTTTTCTCCATTTTTAATTTATAAATTCAACTTCCCAATTCTAATTCCAAAATTAAATACGATTTTTTTAAATTTGGTCCCGAATTTAACACTTAAACTTCCATTTAACCATCAACTTATCTTTTGTTTTACACGATTCCATTTTCAAATTTAAATTTACTTATCGAAATACGTTTTTTTTTATTTCACTTTTTAACCTTATAACAATTCACATATCTAATTTATAATGTGACTTATATTATAGACTCACTTAAACTCGATTTAACTTTAACTAATTATAAAACACTTAGCTGGACTAGTTTCCAATTTCGCCGAGTGTTTTTGTTAATTAACCTGCAACAAGTAAAGAACAAAGTTTATTCATTAACCATTTCATTGTTGGACTATGTTTGAATTGAGTGAATAGAACGAATTAAGTGACATGAATATTTATTGACTAGGTTCGACGACTGACTAAAGACAATACAGTTATTTTGATTAGTTGAGAGTAATCAAGTATTGTTTTTAAATATAAGAATGGTTGGGTGAAGTAACGAATGGTTGCTGAGTATGTGGTCATCAATTCGATTTTTAGGTTGGACAAATTGTGCCTCAGTGGCGTTTTTATGTTTAAACGCTGATTACACTGTAACTTATCTGCCTATTTAACTGCCTAGTTGGCCGAGTAGTCGCAAGTGCGACTGCCGGGCAAGGGGTCTCGGGTTCGATTCCCGGTTCAGGCAAAGTATAACTGGGTATTTTAAAAAAATCTCAGTAGTAGCACGGAGTCTGGAATATTGTGCTCGGTATATGGCAATAGGCTCACCCCCTATTACATGGGACTCATAAAACATTGAATAGTGAAAAGTGGGTGTTTCATTGTACAGTGGCATAATTTTTTTTTCCCTTCGGGGATAAAAGGCGTAATGTTATGATATGTTATCTGCCTATCCTCTCGGAGATAACTGGTATGAAGTTGTAATATTGTATATTTGAGGAGAAAATTAAAACGTTCGAATTTCCAATCAAGTTGGCCATTGTAGTGTAAATTTAAATTCCTTTTTTTCATAGCCTCGAGCTATCGAGTTGATTCTGCCTATAAAGGATTTTTTAGCTACCCATTTTTTCTAAAAAATAAAATATTGAACTGAAATTGGTACCTATTTCGATTTGTCTATTGACCTTTATAAGGGCGAGTCTATTCGAAGGACCTAGTGGCGAATGTACTTACTCCTCCTTCGCCAGGAGTACTCTCCTCCTACGCCAGGAGGAGTACTCTACCAGCGTCGCATACACAAGCTCATCATGACATTGTCATTGTCATTGTGAAAACCAATGATTCAGTTAACAACCTAACCAAAGATATAATCCTTTAAAAGAAGTCTTCCTGCCTTATTCATTCATCATTCATTTTAAGTGTGGGAGAGCCATGCTTCGGCACGAATGGGCCGGCTCGACCGGACTCGTACCACGGCCTCACACAAAACCGACGTGAAGCAACGCTTGCGTTGTGTTTCGTTGTGTGATTGAGGTTACCGGAGGACCAATTACCCTCCCCTTCCCCAATCTCCCCAATTCCTGAATCCCCAACGATCCTCAAACTCCTAATCCCCAAAAGGTCGGTAACGCACTTGTAACGCCTCTGGTGTTCCAGGTGTCCATGGGCGACGCCGACTGCTTACCATCAGGGGATCCGTCAGCCCGTTTACCGGCTTATGCCATAAAAAATTCACAACATTCTATTGCCTGCTTTAATAAAGAGAAAAGAAAAATAGAATAGGTGTATTCGAACTAGTCAAGTTCAATTAAAATAAAAAAAAAACGATACGTTTCTGTTTCATTTTATATAACACTAGCGAGCCGCCTCGTCTTCGCACGAGTGCAATATGCATGTTTTATAGATATAAACGTTCCTAAAGAATCACTCTATCTTTTAAAGAAAACCGCATCAAAATCCGTTCCGTAGTATTAAAGATCTAAGCATACATAGGGACAGACAGACGGCAGATAGCGAGTTTAATTTATATTACGTAGTGGTAGTGATTCTCAAGTATAATAATGATTTCTTAGGTTTGCCGTTTACGTTTGCCTTGCTTTTGCCTTTTGTTTGCGTTTGCCTTTACGTTTGCCTAAAAAATGTCAATGAAAAATGATTTCTCCACAAAAAAACTACACAATTTTAGGACAATATTATCACGGAAAAAATCCTTCGACACTTTTAACCGCTACGTGTTCTATCTTACCAAATCATTCGCCAAATAAACAATCCCATCTTTTGTTTAACCTCTCTAAATTCTAAAAAATCTGCTAACAAAATCAAAATTATAATTCAAACAGCTATAACAAGCAAAACCAAATTCATTTCAATCTGGGTTTAAAGTGATTTCTGATTTAATACGTTTTGAATCCCTCGCAAATATATTTCGGGGTCCCAATTACCGTAAAGGTAGCGCTTTAGGGTTTCTATTGAAGCGTTTCGAATTACGTATGTATGTTGTGTGTCAATCAGTCAATTCAAATTGAAGGTATTTTTAATTCATTCTGTATAAGGATTTTGTATTCAGAATTTGACCTACTTTGGGAAAATTGTGGTTAGGTTGTGTTTTGCTCTTAAAGGTACGGTTCGGTGTGTACGGTTTTGTATTTATTTAATAAACATACAAAAACATTACGCCTTTTATCCTCGAAGAGGTAGGCAGAGTTGCACATTACGATACTTAATGCCACTGTACAATGTAACACCCACTTTTCACTATTTATGTTGAGTCCCGTGTAATAGGGGGTGAGCCTATTGCCATGCACCGAGCACAATTCCAGACTGTGCTACTAGTTACTGAGTTTCTTTTTTTATTCTTTAATATTTTGCCCGACCCGAGAATCGAACCCGAAAGCTCTTGCTCGGCAGTCGCACTTGCGACCACTCGGCCAACAATGCAAACTTATATATTGTTTTCATTAAAATATCTTGATTCTTGTCGTTAGTTCTATACATCATTATTTCCAATCGCTTTGGCCAAATGGTTACACATACAATGCTAATATAACTTATGGTGTTGTGCCTACAACAAATTATTACACAATTCTTCGTAATAACACTTTTTTTTTTTTAAGGGGGGAAAATCATCGATAGACTGCTCCCGCCTGGGTGAGGCGGGAGGGAGTGTCAGACTCTTACTGACTAAAAACCACCCCGTTCCTTCTCCTGCACGTCGAGTCGGAGCCCCGGTTACCCGTTAGGTTCTCCGCGACATCTAAGATTGGATTAGTATCTTGTAGTTTAAAAAAAGTTCCATATTACATTAAACCTAATGCCACCTCTATAAAACTTTTCATAAAATTTAACCCCAAAAAAAAAACACTCTAACATAACATGAATAAAAGTTTAATATCGACTAAATATTGTCTTGATTAATAGCAAAACTTTGATTGAAATTTATACGAATGAAAACATTTACGGACTTTTTTTTTGTCCAGTCCGGTCCGGTCCACAGGCCCGTGCCGGTCAGACACGGTCCGGTCTGACGCCCAGAGTGTCTCTCGCGACGGCTTGGGCGTGAGGAGGTTCGTTCCCTCACGCGCCCCGCCTCCTCCTTAGCTAGCATGACACTGCAGAAGGAAGATACGACATCCCAGTCCAGTCGCTAAGTACCATAGTCTGAACCAGAGCCGGATGCGAGAGATCGCCGTCCCTTACCACATCCCTGAGGTTATTTCGATTCAAATCCATACGAATACCTTTGTAGCATTTAGGTATGACCACAAAAACAGTAAAAAGGGTTCGTGAAAAGAAATATTGCTGACAGAAGCTCATTCAGTAATTATATGACCTTTGACCTTTAGGCCTACGCTGAATTTACCTTTTGCATAGTAATGAGGCCTAAGCACACAACACGAGCTCAGTGGTATGTTATATATTCCACATACAACACTGGATTATCATAACCCTACATTATGTGAGATTTATAACTGATATATAACTAACTGGCTTGTAGAAGGAATACCTCTAGTGTTGAATGTCCGGAACAATTTGAACTGTAATATTAACGGATATTTTGATTTCAATACAAAACTCTTGCACTAAAGAGTAAGACAAAGTGGCAAGACAACCACGTGTTTCAATCATATGTTTGAACATCAATGAGTGAAACGTTTAAATGACAGTATTCTGGTGGGTGTCGTAGTGGCCCAAGCAACAAAGCGTTGTGAATAATTCTTAAACCTTCTCCGTGTGAGAAGAGGCTGTCCTCAGCAGTGACTGTTTGCGTATTCTGTAGTATATAGTACAATAAGTTCTTAAACTTCGCATTTTTAGTAAGAGCCATATTTTCAATGAATATCTTAGTATTTATTAATCTCAAAAATAAATGACAATCAGCTATAAAACAAAATAAAACCAACGAGAAAAACAAGGACCAGCAAAATAAACGAAGGAAAATCAAGAAAAAACACAATTCCACCTCAGAACATTAACAATGTAGAATTAATTAAAAAAGTAAAAGCCTCCCCTTGGGGTTTTTTACGAAGATCGATGAAGGACTAAAGAATTACGGTAATCCAATATTCTCAAGTTTGATTGACTCCTCGCGTTTGTGATGTAAAACCTTTATGTGTGAGTTTATTCCAAAGAGACCATTAAAGTGAGCGTGAGTGTATAAATGAGTGTATGTGAGTGAACGTGAGTCTGTGTTGGACCGACGTGAGTTTCTATGTGAGTGAAAATTTTTTTCCCGAAGATGTTTGGTTTCCGCGAGGATTTATTTTTACATCTGAAGTTCTTGTATGTAATTGAGTTATTGATTTAACGAGACGAAGTGTGTCTTGAGTGAGCATTGAAAGAAAGGTCAGCATTTTTAAGAGAATTGCTTTTTATTTTCTCTTAGTTTAACGTGTTTTTCTTTGACGTGGTAGATTGAAGTATATTTTTAATGGTACGTGTCGAAACACACATTTTGCTAGTTGCGATATTTGTTCCATTGCCAGAGACATGGTACTGGTGTAAGGTTTTAACCCATCATTTGTTTAAAATGTGGATCCACGCGAGACTCAATATATTTGCTATTGTGTGTTATATACGGGCATTCAAGCGATTAATCAACTAAGCACCAACCATAGCAATGAATGGACTATGCGATTTTAGAAAGAATCCCTTTTTTTTAAATCGACTTATATTCGCCCTGAACATTTCATACTATAGACTACAAGACCCCAACTGTTGCACTTGAAATAATTTAAAATGAAGGACCCAAGAATAAAAATAAACAGCACTTTTAATAACCCTTACAGCGCCAAAATATTTATCCATGTAAATTAAATAAGTGGCTGGGTCGAAGGGACGCAAGGGATGACCTATATTTAAAGCGCCTAACTTCGGATTACAACACGGTGCCTTGAGCCCAAGATTTTATTTATGCAGATTTACTTTTCTTGGGGTCTGCGTGATCGAATCAGGGTGAAGATTTTAAGAAGTGGTGTTGGTCGAGTGGTTATAAATGTGACTCCAGAGTAAATAATCTGGAGTCAATTCTCGTGGGTACTATGGTCGTCTTGGAGTGGAATTTGGTAAGCATTTAA